GTTGAATGTTGGCTGTCAGCGATATAGGAATGTTAAGCAGTAAGGCCTAACCAGCACAGGGCTATGATTTGTAGAAGCTGAAATTGCCTTCCGCACGATTGGACAGGGCTCATGTTAACGTGTTTAATTGGTGCTCGTCGAGACAAAAGGGTTACGCTCTATTGCCAGTAGGATTGAATACGCGTCTGTGATCGCAAACAACCTATTATGCCTGAATAAGTGCCTTAGATGCATTGCTAATGCCGGAGTGTGAATCGGAAAATGTGTTGGAGATCGCCAGAACATCACATCTACAAGCGAAAACGTGTTTCGCACATTTGTTCGTGTGTGTTCATCTCCGTTCGTAGTTTAACATTGGTCGGAACAGAGTTGCATTGTCGAAAGCTGACGACTGGTCAAAAAGTCATTGTTCGTTAGAGTTAATTAGATTTGCATTTCTCTAGGGGCGGTAACCTTCTATTAATGGGCATTGAGGAATACTTTCTAACATAGGTCCTTGGATAAGTATTTCATGTGTTGGACAGTGTTGATAGGTCTCTTTACACCCACGTATTTGAGCATCATCAAAATAAAGAAATAATGTTTTTGACCATACAAACTATCTATACATATCGAGATGTATGGATGCTTTGATAAACTGTCACAGTAGTTAATAGGATACCTAAAAAAAAAAGTCATGATCTATCGGTTGTCTGCCCGGTAGTACAGAATGCTATGTATTCGCCGTGTAGCCTGGGAGCTTCAGGTAGGCTCAAACCTTACGGCTAGGCCTCAGTCCTGATCGGTTATGCTAGTCCGCTCCTAACATCTCTTGTTGGAAACGTGATTTGGGTTCACCTCCAGCCTTTGTCGCTGTTGCTCTAGTCGGTAAAATTCTGGATCGTTCACACAGGCTTACAACGCGCTTAAACAACTGAAGTTTATGGTTTCACATTATCAAAAAACGTGCCTCCATAAATGAAGGCAATCCTAGAATTGTCCGAGGGCATTATATTCATCGTATATATTGCAACTAAAATAGACGAACGTACCTAAGTAAGCTAATGGAACATCTGTGTTTGCACAATACTCGGCTCCAATAGTCTAAAGTTTAGCATTACCAAGTTCAGGATAGTTTCGAAATCCTCCTTATTCTTGCCATGAACGATGTCTTGAAATATGGTAGGACCTGTCGGTTGTATGCGATTTGCCGCCGCGGCCATCGAGCTACGGTCGTTATGATGTTTCCCTCTTACCTTTTCCGCTTCTATTGGTACCATTAGTCACTTCAATCATAGACTGTATTGACCGGTGTAGTTTGCTATGCAGGTGAAGGGGGGATATGACGAACATAGAAAGAAACGGTTCATACGCAAGCACCATTCGGCTATGCCAAAAAGAACTCCACCAAATACTCCGAAAACTGCCTGTTTGTCCTACGGGAATAGAGAAACAAGTTTTTCTTCTTTTGCAAAACAAAAGGATTGAAAATCAAACGGAAGACCAGACAGGGCCATAAAGGTGGCAGGGGAAATAATATTGTTGGAAATATTAAGTTAACCACGATAAGAAGAACTGATGCAATGCGCCTATAGTATGAACTGAAGCTGAAGCAAATATTTTCATATTTCTGTAACTTCGTTCTTTTATGGACTTTTATGTTCTATGGAAACAGAAAATCAATAGTCAAACTGAAATAGGCTAGCTTATATAAGTTAACCATTGATCCAATTTGTGTTTTTTCTCCGTATCACAGCAGTTACTGGGCTCTGCCTGTTTAGACTAGACTTTTTTTAAATCTTCTATCAGCTTCTACAACAGGCATTAATTTACTCCCTTATGGTTCGTGCCGCATGATCGAGTGAACGTCAAGTTGATTACAAATGTCTGTGTCGCAGTTACGAACATCTGCGATCGATGGCAGCGAACATCATAAGCCAGCTTCCTTTTAACTGTGGCAATTTAAAATCGAAGTTTATGCGCACACAATTTAGAACCAATTTATGTATGCTACCAATAAATTTTTGTATGTTTTATGTTAACTTATTGCTTCGGATGTTACTGTGACACACACACACACACACACACACACACACACACACACACACACACCACACACACACATTTCGATCATAGTTAAACTGTTCGGAAGGAAACTGACTTTACAGAATAGCAGAAAATAGTTAGGAAAGTGGTCACAGATTATTTTGGATTGAGTCGGAAGGATTAAAAGCATGATTCCAACGTTTGAGAGGGCGCCCATGTCCGTGTGTGGGCGACTGTCGGGTTTTGAGATACGGTATGTGAAAAAGAGAAAATACTAGCTCGCAAGAGCTCTCCGAATCGAAGTTACCTGGAAACACTCACAGGGAAGACATGAAGGGACGAACATGCGTCGTTGTATACGATACAAGATGGATACTAACACCGTGCAGTGCCATTGGAACTACCGTCTGAACTAGTGTGGTTACGAGAGCGGGAGAACGGGAGCCTACAGCGTAGTCCGAACTCCAGTTTGGCACAGAACTAGTTGGTAGTTTTGCTCCATATCCCCAATTCGGTGTCTGTTGGAGAGCACGAACGTGCCGACAGTACATCTGAACTCTTATTTACATATGCGTAGGCAGAAGCCTGGCTTGTCTTTATGCCATTCGGCCTTCATATAGAGGGAAAAAGAAGCTTGAACACAGAATAGTTGTACGGGAGAAGCACCAGTAGAAAAAATGAGAATCTGCATTCAGTCTCTCTCTAGTTAGATTTCTCTCTGAGAGAGAAACAGACGAAGCGGCAAAAAACGAACGTGCTCACTACTGTCTCGGCTGAACGAGTGGAAAAGGAATAGAGACTTCACGATTATCAGACACCACCTGACAGAGGGCCTAGAAAATGATGGTGATGTGGTACTCAGAGGCAGTCCGCCATTTGTCGGTTACCTTTTTGCGCTGAAGTATCACCCTCAGCCTGATTTGTCTCTGTACCTCACTGCCGTTTTCTCACCAGCCAACCTCAAGTACTTCCGGCCAAAAATGCAAACAGGACATACAATCAGTCCAATGGCTAAGAGCGTTTAGTTGAGAAGTTCTGCTTCTGAATGTTGAAAAATTAATTATTACGCTAGTCGCCTGAACATGAAACATTTGGTTTTTCTGGGGCCAATGCCATAGTTAAGAGTGAACCCATGCCGCTGCATCGATTGAACTTCGATGCAATGCATTAGCCACTCGGTAAAATGGCAACACATTTTTTCTGAGATTGGCCGGTGCTCAATCTGCGGGACGATGTCGGAATTCTGAAACATCGGCGAAGAGGAACAACACTCCAGTAGTTGAATGAATCGAACGGTGGCGCGCGCTAATTTGAAAAAAGATGCTGTAAATTCAGGGCCTCTAGATTAAATGCACTTGTTTGTCTCGCTTTTGAACTTTCGTTTGAGTTTGAGTGAGCGGAGAATTTTCAAAACATTTTTCCGTATTCTATATAAAAAGAGTAGATGTCATGATACACTAGAGTCAAGATTTTGTTATGTTGAAGAGGTATAACTTGTTCTCCAATCATAGTTCGACTGCTACAAATGCAAAAAATGTTTTAACATTGTATTCCCAGTTGTATTCACATTTGTAACATTTCTAAAGATGCCCGCTCCTGCGGATCGACACAGAGCAGCTAGAAGTGTGTTGGGGGCATCTGCACGTATCCGGATCTGTTGAATGAAACAGGACAACCCGCAGGATACTATTAAGCGTGACATATGAATGTCTCGAATATTTATTGACGTTTGAGAGTTACGATCAATTTGGGCTCGAGAGCTATCAATAATATTATGCATGTATCTAATCATGTATCACTGGAAGAACAGGACATTTTTCTCGGATAATCACCGCTTCAACGGAGACATGCTGTTTGGCATCGTATCCAAAACGGTCCGTCTCATTATACAAACGATGAACACAAAACGCTCTATGAAGAATGGGGCTTTACTTTTATGCACTTATCTAAAACGAATCGCTTAATCAGCTATTGTCTTTGTGCTTGTTGATTGTCAAAGCTAATTGGTATTATATACCTTTTGTCAACTGGAAGAATAATATATTTAGCAGTATTTTGGAATAATAGATTGCAGACAAGCGAAATTTTTTTGTTCCTGCAAAATGGCGGGCCTTCACATAGGACACACATTCCATTGTAGGATCGCACCAACTGCAATGGAGCGATGCTGAGGAAATAGAGCAAAACTTACATGGGTATCAATGCCCCTTAATAATAGTGTTAACACTTATTAGGATTACTGTTCTAGAGAACAAGGAGATTTATTGCGAGACGAAAAATTGCTTAATAAACATACATATGATTGAGTGTTCCGGTTTCGAAATTTTTCCGACCTTTGCGAGCAATTAATATAAATTGCTGTTGTTAAGCGCTAAACATGGAACAGACAGATAATTTATCAACAAAAATAGTGTATTAATTTAAATTTCCTAATTTATTTTATCGAAGAAGGGAAAGTGAGGCTATATAGGACAGCTAAGTATTCTGTTTGCATTTCATCGAACTTCCTTAAATGATAATATAATCAGCTTATTTTTTGCTGTCTGTTCCGAATGCCGTGAAGGCTACTTTCACGGAAACAAACTGAAAGAACTAGGTGACTTCAGAACATAGCTCAGCTTGATAAAAATACGTATATACGTTATCATCAAGCTAAATAGCTGAAGAGAATGACACGCTCATTTTTAGTACTATCCCCCACCCCACCCCACTTCTCTAATAAAATCCGTCGACGTACTATTACTCTGACCATCAACCCAAACTCGGCTCTATTTCAGGCATCGGAACTCCATGTAAACTTGCGTTGGGTTGTACAGCTTGGCAATGAGTGACTGTAGAGTATCGATTTCTTGAGCTATAATCATAGCTTCTTTTAAGAAGAAAAACATGTCTTTTTTTTTTAAATTTTATTGAATGACTGGCTTCCTTACACAGAATCATCAATTTCTGGTCCTTAGACCCCACCCTGTGGAGCAAGACGGGTCAACAATATGTTTTCAATTGATATTTTCTCGGAAATGAATTAGCTGTTGTGAGGCTTTTTCGGCCAAATAACAAAAGAGCCTTTAACAAAGATAGTAGTGTAATTTTTTCCCGCGGCGCCAGTTGTTTTTTTGGCGCGTATAAGTCCACCCTCCTCTGCATATTTTGGCACTGAGTGTACGGTATTCTAAGACGGTATGTATTCTCACCATAGGTAAGTTACGCTTGCGTTTACCCGTGATCGCTTCAGAACAGAAATGCCATATTGCTCCGTCACCATTTACAGAATGTATCGTAAGTAGCATATTATAAATACACGGCCACTGATCTCGCATTGTACCTGTAGATTGCCAGGCCAAATTAATTTATCCATCCGTACACCACCAGATATTTAGTATATATATAGGTCCCGGTCTCTTTGTAGTAGTTGATCTTAATGCTGGCAAGTTTTATCTGTACCCAGTGAATTATAATGAGTTCAAGTCGTAGAATATAATTGACTTCAAGAGTTAATGAACTCTTTGAAGTCAATCATTACCTTAATGAATTGCTACTAGCATCTGAACGAGTATCTTTACTAAGCTGATAAATGTGCGAACAGCATAGATATTCATATCTGCGTAGCCGCCAATCGCATTACATTCATTTCTATCATATAAAGGTAGTTGTACGGTTCTGTCAGATTGGTTAGCGAACGCCAGAAACTTCCATTAGTTGTCCTTATTTCGTCGGTAGTGACAAACGTCGTGCCCGGCGCGAGGTACACAACCAACCGTTACGGCGAGACGCCATCGAAGTGAATGATGCATCTGAAGTCAGATCGCACCTGGGATCGGCCGATCGCTGGACGAAGCCGTAGCGAAAGGGAGAAGAAGTTAACGAATGGCAAGCGATGGACGAACGGTCGCCGAATGCTTAAGGATAACTTGATCCTGTCCCCATCCAAATAGTTGGGAAACCGATAAAGATGAAGGAATAGTGCTATGTATGGAAAGCGTGCTGAAAGACGCGCTTGTCGCGTTACTGATGAAAGCGTCAAAACTATAAACAATTGAGTCGTACTTTACAATTAGATGGTATAAATGTCGAGTCGATTTCTGGGACCTTGCGAGTATGCAGATTAGAACATCGATAATACAGACCTTAAACCGACTCCCCATCAGTACGGCGTATACATTTCCATTTGTCAGCGATGCTAAACTTGTACCATAGATTCCTGGCTAACACAACTACAAATACCCTTGAATCTAAGCGGGAATAATTAACAATGTAAAAAATTCAGGTATCGAACGTCGCCAATGGCTTAGTTACGGACGTACTCTGCTCAGTATAAAAGTAGAACCTAACCGATAATGGGCCAACCGTTCCAACACATCTATTATATTAGTGACGAAAAATATAAAGGATAAGGTTATGTCCGAACTTCAATGGGAATTGAAACGTCAGAGGATTATCACTGTAAGGATAGCAGACCATATCTGATACACTGTGTCAATGATCGCGCCGCCCTTCTAGTCGAGAGCTGATGCGTTTACTTACTTGCTTAAGTGTAATTCATTGCAGTCGGGACAGGCCGACGTTGAACCCATATGGCTGTAGCACTGCTTGCCAATGCGGCAAGTGCAATTCAGGACTATACGGTCAGTGGGGCAACCCTGTGGGGCCGCGAACCCAGAGTGGCTGACTAGCTGACGGCAAATAACAAACTGCTGGGGTAGAAATGCTGTTTAGTCGAACCGAATGTACGCTTTGTGGGTCATTTTGTCAGACTGGAATGAACCGGACGCGGTATACGCAGTCATCTTTGCCACCCCAAAAGAACATATTCAGTAACCTGAGTTTAAGTTTGGGCTGTGGGAGCGCGACGACGCTGATCTTGGTAGCAGAAGTTCGATGAGATCATCTGTAAACAACGTCAGATAAAACAGAAATGGGAAACAGAGAAAGAACTCGGTATGAGAGACGAACTACGTGCGATAGCACTGCTCATGTCTGCCTAGATGGATAATTAGTATATCGTAGATCAAGCAAATTGCAATCCAAAAAAAGCCATTATATATGCATTATTTTCACAGGAGTAAGACATAAATGGGAATACTTTGTATGCACATAACTTAGTACTAACGTTATTTTATTATTATGCATTTTCTGCATCAAATATCTATTATACTCAACTAAAACCGCAGCGTCATCGATACTTACTGTGCCAAATGTATTTACCAATGCACAATACCACTACGAGTGCACATCATAAGGTACGTAGAAAAATGGTACCTCCGATCTCTTATGTTTTCAATATCATTCTACCTTATTGGCAAGGAATCTTCACCGCCCTTATTTTTTCCAAATTTTCATTAAAGACAAAGTATTATCATCAATGCTAAGCACATGAGATTTTGAGTCACCCTTTACTTACTGCAGATATTTTATATTTAATATATTAGGATGACTTTTACGCACAAAACCGGCACCTTTAGTTTCCACATAGATTTGAATCGATGCCCTGATTGAAGGTACGCACATATAAGTTAATTTAACAGATAGGTGAAATAATCTTGGAACTATTAATATAGGCTACGATGCTTAAATATTTCGAAAACAAGAATCTATAAATGTGGATTTTCTGCGCACGTCGGCTTTTCTCGGAAAGTATCAGATGGTAACTAAAAACGTTGGTAAAGGAAGCGTATAGATAGCTGTCTACACAACGCCTCAACTCAAACCCAAAAAGAAGTTTTTTTTGAATCGTTAGGGTACAAACAGAACGGGCTACAAACCGTTCACACATTGTTGCCGCTATTCTTTTCATTCAGGATAAGGCGTATCCGTTACCAAAACAGTTTGTTTGAAGGTTCTAGAAATTGGTACAACCACGAATAGCTACTGTGCTGAATAATAGGCCATACGTTTTTCAGTTAGGCAACGTATCTGTTTATACGAACGAAACAAGACCTGGCTAGGAACGTTCCAACACGGAATTACGAGCGCCTTGGCTCCCAGTTGAAACAGTGATCGAAGCGAGCAGCCTTCAGCTGGGGCATAATATGAACACGCCCGTCACGGACGTCCCTGTTGGTACAAGCAAAAAAATATGACTCAAATACGTGATTCCATTCAGATGCTATCCGGAAACAAGCGACATTATTTTTGTCCTAACATATCCCGAAAACATGTCTAACATTTTCTGTATCTTACCGGTGTTTAAGTAGTCAGCGTCCAAATGACCTTATTGTGAAATATACATGGATAATGTCTTAGTAACTGCACGGGCTTTTCATCCCGTTACACCTATGTTAACATGTTAACTTTTCCTCAATTCTCGTCAATGATTAAGCTGCACTACGCTACGCTGGTCTCACAGCCGCCTTGAACCGCCAATCTGTGCGTTCTCTATTACCAGATACTGACATAAGAACTAGAATTGGTAGAAATCTCACCAAATCCTGTCGGCGAAGCCATCTCTTTTGACAGGTCGTCGCCTGCACGTTTTTCAATAACTTCTACCAAAATGGGCCCTGGAAGCGTTTTGGGCGCGCGGATGCATTGGTGTGTATGCACGTTTTCTCTTTGAGGTGCACTACTATATGCACGTATTCGTTGAGACTCTTAGCGTAACAGTAATGGTAGTGAAGATGAAATAGAGGGAAAAGCTATAAGGACGGGGTCCAGTGCCGCCACTACCAGGAAATGAGACGGTAGCGGCAGCAGCAGCAGCAGCAGCAGAGTACTTTGAACGGGAGCGAGACATTGCCCTTTTTATCTTGGTACCCTGCCGTTCCCCTACTTGCCTCGGGTTCACCTCCGCCTTTCAGCCTTCGGTTTGGAGGCTTGAGCCCCAAATTTCTACGACTCTGCGAGGGTTCGTTTGGATCTTCCCTAGGCTGGGTCGGTTGGTCGTATTTCTATTGGGAGTCAAATGGCTGCTAAATGAGATACCATTAAATCAGTTAGCTCCGGGCGTTAACCCCGTCAACCTCGGCGGCCGCTGATTTACTGAGTGACGGCTCTGCCGTAGCAATTGGTCAGGACGGCTGGCTAACGCAGCGGATGAGCCAAACGAAACCAAGCCTGGTTCACAGGCCTGGATTCGTCTGTCAGTTAGCCCTCCTGCTCCCCTCAGAGGATTCTTCCTGCCGCCAAATAGTTCCTCGTACGTTCCGTTTGCCTGATTCTCGTCCTGTCTCATCTGGTTATATCTGCGTGTGTCTGTCCGAGTTCCAGCGCTGCTGCTATACTAGTTCGCTCTTTGACCTTAGGCAGTTGGCTATCCTGGCGTCCCAGGGGACGACAGAGACTCTTTATGCCCCTTACGGTACGCGCCCTCCTTTTCAACCATCTGCGTCACTTCAAGCTAAAGACACTCCACTTTAGCTCTTTGTAGCGGTTTTGCCGTTGGCACGACGTTGTCCTGACAACAATAATGGATGTCGCCTACAAGTAGTGCTGCTGTTTTAAAAGAGGAGCGGCTGCTCTCGGCAGCAAAGCCAACAGCTGCGATTGTGAGGTTGCTGCCTTCGTCGGATGGGGAAAGGCAATCAGCTGGGGCAGGGCCAAAGTTAAGACAGTAGATATCACGCAAGCAAGCTGCCAGTAGACATATCGCTAGAATCACTTAAAAAACTTATCATAACTGATATTTTATTCACATATACCATCGAGAAGGATTAAATATTCTATAATAAACAATCTACTAGACAGATTATTTGTATATAGTTAGACGCAGATTATCGAGCAACTCCTGCCTTGAAAGTGTTATTATCACTCCTATAAATCTATTAAACTTCTTTTTGTTCAATTAGGAAATGCAAAGTGTTTTTTTTAACACGAGTTTTTTCGTTATCTGTTGCGGTTACGTAGTGTAACAAGTAGGCTTCATATTTACTACAAAATATATGCTTAAATTTAATGATAGGCTTTTTCAAAGCTTTCCAAAGACAAAGATGGAAGGGTATCACGATACCTAAAATTGTTGGACCGAGATCATCTTTGGGAAATTTCAGCTGTAACCTCGCAGTAAAAGGTCAAAGTGTGAAATTGATTTCTATTTTCATCTTGTACTCATGATTTCATTATCCTATAAAGATTACAATTGAATAGAAATCACCTAAATAAGACCTATTGTGTCGTTTTAAACTACGTTATAAGATGATATACTATATAAATACAAATAAACTAACATATTCAGATTACCTTACAGATGAATTGCGTTGGACCTTTTTTTTTTTTTGTTTACGATGTGTTACGTTTGTTGCTAGTCATGTATAATGAATGAGCTAGCGATCATTTCCCAGCAGCTTCGTTTTGCAACAATTCTTCATAATCCAAAACTCCAGTATTCATTATACAGTAAATTTTTGAGAATTATCTGTTTTCACGATTATAAACTAATTGTAGACTTCAAGTGTGATTTGGAGGAAACCGAACCAACATCAATCGTTTTCGAAATCGAGGGGAAATTTTCATTCATTTGGTCGCTAGCTCGGAGCACGACAGCTGATTTGGATAAAAACTTCGCAAGATGGGCCCTGATTTTGTTGCTTATCGTTTTACTTGTGTACTACAGTTGTTGGTCTACAACAAACGACCGACTTCTGCTGATATAAATGTAGCCATCGGTGCGTTGTGGTTCGGAAGCTTTTCAAAGCATTACACCTCCCACGTCAGCTAACGTGAAAATACATTGACTTATTTATTATGTAGGAGCCTTATGAACTGGTTTAAGGTCATCAATCACATCTACGGTACTGTGTACACCTTGGGGTGTTTGGATCCATTTAAACATTTCTTAGCGATTTCGTGGGGTGCCGCCCCAATCATCAAACCTCGCGTCTCTTAGTGAGTGGGACTTAATTTTGCTCAGCCCTGCGTTAGTAAGGCAAGCACTCATCAAGCTCCTTTAGTCTATTCAGATAGGTTGATAACTGGTAACTATTCAGAAATAACCAAAACAGCACTAAAAGGTCTAACAGCCACAAAATAAGTGACGAAGGTCAGCGGACGACGCACAAACAGCAGTTTTTCGCCACGCTTTATCACCACGGAGCTATCGTTAAGGGCTTGGATAAATAAGCTAGGTGACGAATCGTCGTGTTTGCTGGCACAAATTGGTCCAGGGCATGAGCAGCTAAAAGCTCTACACGCATCGAGTAGGAAAGGGCATTCTCTGTTTTGCACGGATGGATCGGAGGACAACGCCCTCAGCACGATGGCAGAACGCAAAGCGCTAGAACAAGTTAAATCTACCTTATCTAAAGCTGGACTTCGAAGAGCTTTTGCAGGGAATCTAAAAAGGTTTATGGATTATCTAATCACGACGAGGAGATCCTGGAATAGCAGAAATGAATTAATTAGTGAGCTACTGAGAGAGAACCATACAGTTGAAAGCTAGACTGGCTAGACTGACTTCTCGAATGCGATGCTGGCTTTGTGGGCAGAGCGTACAAACTATAACATTTTCTGCTCGTCTGATGTCACGGACAATCGGACCGCGGTGACCCCGCCTGTTGACATGGATGGTACGCACCACTCGCTCCTACCAACCCGTAATACTATTGAAGAAATGTTCAGTTTGATTTAGAGTAAAGCACAAAAGAAGAATTGAGAATTAGCATACAGTGGTCTAAGGGGAAGTAAATCCAACCGTAAGGTATAAACCCCACACTGGACCAACATGAAATAGGCTTGTCTCCAGTGTCCAGTCGTACATAAAGAATATTACCTAAACCTTCTTAAGAAAGCAAAGAAGCTTACCGTTATATGGATGTCCGTTTCTGCAGGGGCTTTATTCTGTCGACAACCTATTTTTGGGTAGCGTAGGCCATTTTAGGTCGGACTGATCGTCATTTTTCTATCGATGACGCCAGCCTACACAGCATTAAAAATAAGTATGCTGAATGTGAGGAATTAACCAGCAAAGGGGTATACATGTTTAGAGGATGCGCGGCTACGGGGCTTTAGCCACGTGTTTCATGGCTTTCGTAGTGTTGTTAAAAAAGACTCTAGAGTCGGTAGCAGTGAGGCATCCCAGGTAAAGGGTCGGCCTAGTAACATGTTTGTGAAGTATCGTTTAAAAAGCAACACAGCTTTTGCTAGACTGTCAACTATTAAAGCAAAAGGTTTCGTTGAACGGCTGTTTAAATGTTTATGTGCCTATTGGCCTAGAAGGCTGGGTTTATTTGTAAATGCAAAATGAAATAAATTGGTTTTCACAAGTATTTCATTTTAACTTGATGCTAATATTAACTTCTTTTCAGTTCTGAATTTCCCTAAGTTAATGGAAGTGACACACGTACAAAGTGTATGAATATCACAAGAAACCCATATTCTCTCGACAGAATCGTTATCGATCTGCGAGCTCCTAGCTTTTAGGCGAAGGTAATTATCATACATTGCCAATATAACAAGCAGACGCAGTTGTCAACTACTACATTCGCCCAGTGTGGAATTGCGCAATGATAATAAGAACAAAAAAAGGCCAGACGATCTTCAAAAGAACGCTAGAAGCACAAAGAGTACATTTTCATAAACTTGGTGAAATGAATCTTATTAGATGTATAAATAAGGAGAAAAAAATGCTTCTCCAAAAATGATCTAAGAGAGATGATTAACTTAACTTCACGCTTTTAGATTGCGCTAAGGTGATATTATCATTGCACGAATCGCTATTGCTGGAGGATCAAGCCGCTGATCCCAAAAGGGCTGTCATTTGGACAGTTGTGCCACACACGGAGAAACATTTCTATTGGTTAATTAGGCTCTCAGACTGGGTTCCGAATACAAATCTCTGGGATTGCTGTCAAACCTGTAGGTTTCTCCATTGGGACATTCAGATTTGACAGCCGATTTCTATCTAACCCGTTATCCAGCATCGATCTGGCTCATTTCGAGATCCAGCCCTTGTTTTCTAACCTTGTCACCCGTATCGTACCCAAATTTAATTACGGTTTCCTTGGAATGTACGTGCAGCTAAAGCTTACGACAGCGAAATGCCGTACATAGTTAATTTTGATTAGACATGTGAGCGATACATTGATCATAAATGAAT